AAAAAAAAAAAAAAAAAATCCTTACTGTAATGTCATTTACTTAAACTAAATCAATTCATGGAAGTACGTAAGATCTTGGAAATAACTTAGCAACTATATTTGAAAAAAATAAGTCCCTTAGACATTGATTAGCCTAAGATCACAAAAATAATTGAATATCATCAAAGTATTCTAACTCTTTCAGGAGGAAAGAATGGTGTGAACTAAGGCATGAAACTAGAAAGCACAAAATATATTTGAGGGATTGAGCAATTCTTTTTCCCTGGAGTATAGGACATCTCAAGAGTACAGTGAGTAGTCAGGATGGCATGGAGTTAGAATGAAGGATTATGAAAAGCTTTGTGAACTGGGCAGTTAAGATACCACGCGATAAGCATTTGTGAGAAATAGAAGGTTTGTGAGCAGAATGGTTGGGATGCAACAATTTTATTCTGAATTAGAAAGGTAATTTTAATCAGTTTATTAGAAGGATTGAGTTGAGAAGAGAGCAAAGACAAACGTTTTAGGAAAATGCAATAATCCAGGCATTAGTTGGTGAGATCCTCAACTTGAGAGTCGTGGGACTATGAAAGTGACAGTCAAGACACTGAGGACTGGTCTTAGTGAGCTGGTCATGAGAGAAGAGGAATCAGTCAAAACAGGAGATGAGGTAACTAACAAAAAAGTGTACTGTAACCAAAAGTAGAGAGGAGAGATAGTGAAGGGATTAGAATAAGGTACTATGTGCTTTGCAAAAGTGTCACAGCCCTATAGATTTTTCTCCAGTTTGGTATGTGAGACATCCAATGCTGAAAATTAGACTTTGCCAAAAATCACATTATTCAGTAAGGAAATACGCAAGAGTGAATATTTTCTGTCCAACAGTGGTGTTGTGTCTTAGTATTGGTGCTGTTTGCATATTATACTTCAAAATATATTCACTAAGAACTCAGTTCTTAGATGTATATTGAGTCTAAGGACTATTTTGTAACTCAGTTCTTAGACATATATTGAGTCTAAGGACTATTTTGTGGGTCATTTATTCACTTGTGCAGATAGTGGGAGAGGTATTCTAAGCATGGACCCTGGGCTGGAATCTAGTACTGTCATGTAATAGCTCTGCGACCTTGGGCAGGTTATTTAACCTCTGTACCACAGTTTCTCCTTATGTAAAATGGGGGTGGTCAGAATAGTACTTACCCATTTCATAGGATATTGTAAAGATTAAATGATTTTTTTTTTTTTTTTTTTTTTTT